TCACAGTTATACGATTAATAGTCACAAATTCACAATTATAAGTCACATATTTATTTATTGGTCACATATCATCAAATTAATTCGTCACGGATTTCTTCGAGATCATAAATCAAAATTTTGATATGTCACAGATTATTTTGAAATCACAGATCAAAAAATTATAGGTTACAAATGGTTACAAATTCAAAAAATTATAGGTTACATGTCACATATTTTCAAATTTGATGGTCACAGATTATTTCGAGATCACAGATCAAAAAATTATAGGTTACAAATGGTCACAAATTCAAAAAATTATAGGTCACATGTCACATATTTTCAAATTTGATGGTCACAGATTACTTTTTATTCATAAATGATCGAATTTTAATGTCATAATTTACGGTCACAGTCACAGAGGGGACCAAATAGTTGGACACAGACATCCAACACCTAATCTCAATCCATCCTCACCCGGCACCACCATCGCATCCACCACCACCACAGCACCAGCACCAGCACCAGCACCAGCACCAACAAAATCGCGGTCACATGTCACATATTTTCAAATTTGATGGTCACAGATTACTTTTTATTCATAAATGATCGAATTTTAATGTCATAATTTACAGTCACAGTCACAGAGGGGACCAAATAGTTGGACACAGACATCCAACACCTAATCTCAATCCATCCTCACCCGGCACCACCATCGCATCCACCACCACCACAGCACCAGCACCAGCACCAACAAAATCGCCACCCTCACCCATTATCATCGTCGTCATCACCACCAACTCACCACCATATCAAATCAAATACCAACAAAAATTAGAACAACTGCAGCCACCACCAACCACCTCCGTTGCCCGAAACCACCATGACTGCAAGCACCAAACACAAAAAAAATACCTAAATCATACCTCACCAACACCACCCACATCACTACTGCCAACACGAACACCTCCATCGTCGCCAGAAACCACAAGAACACCTCCACCTCCACCAGAAGCCACCACAACCACCACCACCAAACACACCAACAACACATAACCAACATCTCCACCACCAACACGGCCACAGCCGAAAACGATCATAGCCACCAGGACCATATCCAACACACAAGACAATACACCGCATCTTCAACATATCACAGACCAACCACATCGATCGCGGCTGCAGATCACAAATGGCTATGGTTCTGGAATAATCAAAGTTCACGACAACAAATCATAAATCCCCTTGCCGTCGCCGTTGTGAGCGGTGAAGCGGCGCTCACACCCCTCACCATTGCCTCACCGTATGTCGCTAAAAGAGTGTTGCATCATGCGACGGCACTGCAAGGTGCCAATCGATCTGTCGAAATAGAGAGGGATGGGTAGGAAGGATGGATCAAAATAGGAAAAATTGTCCGATCGGTCGAAATAGAGAGGCGTGATTCAAGGTAACACCGTCGTGCCGGAGATTCTCTTCCACGGTGGCGGCACGACTATTGAGAGAGGAGAGAGGCGCCTGCTGCTGAGAGAGGAGAAAACCGGGAGGAGATATTAGAGATGGGGATGGGGAATTTAGGTTTTGTAGTGGGTACCTGATTTTTGCATAAAGTTTCGTTACCCCTCAATTATGAATTTGAAAGTTTAAATACCTGATTTTATGTAATTTTCCCTTATTTAGATGCCCAAAACTCAATTATTTTATTCTTTATTAGACCACTTTAATTTTAGACTTAACTTTAAGATAGTATTTGTACATAATTAATTACATATGTAGGCCCACATGGCAAATTAGTAATTTCCCAACATGAACACTATGACAAACAAATATATTTTATTCGCAATCGTATCAATCCATTAAAATGCATGTTTAATTTGCACCAACATTTTTGGAAGCTAACTATATATAATTACCTTTTTTACACTGTTCAATACTTCCCACCACTGACCAACATCAGATGTGCTAAACCTACGAAGAATTTGAAGTTCACTTGAGGTAATTGAGCAAGAGAGAAGTTGGCCAAACAAATTAAATTCCACTAGTCTCTTCAACCATAGTAAATGGGTAGGAGAGAGCTTCAACTTTGACAATCAAGTACTCAAGAAACACTTGAATTTATTAAAAATCATGCAGGTCCACAAATTTATAAATACGATAGAGTTTAATGTTTTCTTACATGTCTCTGAAAGAATGGGCCAAGTGGTATATATATATGTGTGTGTACATTTCCATGTCCTTCGTCGATTGACTTACTATGTACCTTTCAACTCAAATGCAGTTGTGAGTGAGTAAATACTACCCTCACTCTTCTTTTCACGGGCCGTTTTATGCTCGATCTAGGTTTCACATCCTCCTTCTGACTTCGATGGCCCTTATACTCAACGAGTAATGCATTGTTGGGGGAGAATTCTCCTAATACTTTATTTTTATTTTAAACTTCTTTTATCTTGTCACGTAGTCCTTTTCATTACTTTGGCCTATAAAAGTTTGTGAATATTAGGACTAATCTTTTCATTACTTTGGCCTATAAAAGTTTGTGAATATTAGGACTAATATTTTATTTTTTTATTCTGTCCTCTTAGTTTACAGAAGAGATATCATCTAACTTTGTCACAGAAGCATTTTGTTTTGTACATATAAAAATATTTACATAGATGATCTAGTTCCATGACAACAATCAAGAGAGTGGACCTTTATGTTTATGATAAAGTGTGAAAACATTCAAATTGGAACTATTATTTTAAGGTATATTATAATATTTAGTTGTCTAGATATTTCTTTTAACTTTTTCCTAAGCCCAGATACTTTGTATATAATTTCTTGGATTTTTCTACAGGGTTTATACCGGGACCGCCACTGTAGCGAGGGCCCCACATGTGTATATATATATATATATATTAACGCGGGCCTCACCAATGTGAGTAGCTGTAAAATATCTGACAAAAATAACCCTTTCCATGTAGGGTGGTCCTAATTTCTTTAGATTTCCATGCAGACAGCCACACACAATCATTGCTGCAAATACTACGTCTTTAGCTGTCATATGGCCTTTATTAAATTAAATTTTATTTTTGTCTCTCATCTATTCAATCACATAATTTTTCATAAAATAATATTACACGTAAATCGAAAACTTTTCATATTTTTCAACGACTTATTTAAAAAAAAAAAATACTATTTCACTAGATTTAATTTGGTAAAATGGGGAGCCGATCGAGTGCTTAAGTTCATTATTAAAAGGGGATTTATCAATTGTATCTCCTAAAAGTCTCAAATTTTGTGGTCCATGAAATTCTCATATCCATTAATATATTATATTCTAGTATGGTCATCTAAAGGACAAAATTTACAAAGCCTTTTCAAACACAAATTTATTGTCAAACAAGTCAATCCAATTAATAACTGAGGCAATTGCTACCACTAAATAATAAGTTAAATAGATCAACTAATGTTGAATTTAGCCTCTATTTGTCTACTATTCTCTCAATTTTTTTGTTTGTTCTAAAATTCATTTTCAAAATAAAATATTTTTCATGTAAATACAAAATTTTTCTTACATTTTTAACCATACATTCTCCCAAAAATATTTATTTCAAAACTTATTTTCCTCAAAAAATTTCTTTTTAATGAGCATCAAACAGAGACTTAATAGAGAAGGACACTCACTCACTTTCTTCCCCACACCCCCATCCCCCTCACTCCACTCCAATTGGTTTGGTATAGAGGTGAATTAAGGATATTTCTAAGAGTGATGCTATGCCTACAAAGTAGGTTTACAAAAATAGGTTGACAAAGTGATTGTTGGCAAAATCAAGACCATTCAATTCAAAAATAATTTTTGAAAGCAGCAAAATTCATTGGCCTTGTTCTTGCGAACACATACTTTGTCAACCATTTTTATTAAACTACTTTGTACAAGTAGTTTAATTGTATTTTTAAAGAGCAATGTTATATGTACAGGGCATATATTGAACTTTGGGCAAAAAATATAGTTAATAAAGTCAGTCAGTTGATGTCATCTTATCACTTGTAAAATTTTTTGTGCATTTCCTCTATGCGGGCGCGTTTGATTACAAGTATGAAATTTGTATAGAAAGAAAATAAATTCTAGGCAATTGAATGACCTATAACTTATTTGTATGAAAATTATTAATTAAATGTGTGTGATTTATTTAGTTTTTAATCTAAAAAATATTATACTTGTCATTTTTTCATTAGTAGGTAGATGAGAGAGAGGGATGATAGATGAGAGAGAGAGGGATAATAGATTACCTAAAAATAAAAACAACTTCTCCCCCAAAAAAAATGTTTTCCTTATTTTTGAGAAAAATATGATCACGTAACCAATAGTTAAAAAATGTTTTCCATAAAAAAAATTGTCAATCAAACACTTCAAAGGTAGGAATTTTGGTGAAAAAATAATATTTTTCATGAAAAATAAAGCCAATCAAACACACACAAGTATCATTTTTTATTTAAAAATGGAATATATAACATACCGAATCAATCAGTCATGTCAAACTAAGCCCCCCCCCCCTCCGATTTGGTCCTAATTAATTTCCATTCCATTACATTTCATTTCTCTCTCTCCTATTTTCAACCACACAATTTCTATAAATTGAAAACCTTTTTTTGTTTTTTTTTTGTTTTTCAATTTCACCCATTTTCATTTCCACAAACGAGGGCTAAATACAAGTAATGAAGCTCTCTTCCACCTTCTCTCGGCTCTCACCCCACTTTTGGTACGTGGATGAGTTGGGAGGATTTAAAAACGGGAACACAGACTGAATTAATTGGTCCTTGCCAAATTAATAGGAGAAAGGAACCTCCCCTTCTCCTCGGCCCATCCCAACCCTGGTTGAGTTAGGGGGTACTTGAAAAAATCGGAGGACCTTTTCGTGCTTTGCTTGCTTCATCAACCTAACACCTGTTCAAGTTTCCAACTGTTGTAGACCTCGAGACATATCCCAGTGATGCAAATGACAAAAGTGAGGTATACCCAGCCTTGCTGATAGTCGCAGTGTGAGGATTCGATTCCTGAAACATGAATTGAGACTTTTTGTGGGTATCGGTGTACATGCAACTTTTGTTCTCTGGCCTGTTAAAGCACATTCCGCAATTAACCTCTAGAGGCAAGGCAAGGCAAGGCGGGGCGGGGTTCAACATTTAAATTTCCAACTTTTGTAATAAAGAATAATATATAAACTCCTTATATTCCAATAACCTATTTGCTAGACTTGACACTCGCCCAACCAGTTCATAACAGCATATTTTTTCTCCCCCGTAACTCGATTTTTACCTAAAAAAACATATATTCCCCGATTCCAACACCACATTATTCGTCCAGAAAAACTATGCCACTTTCGTAGTATTTCCCATTTTATTCTATATATTTGAAATTATATTCACGAACAAAAAAAGAAAAGGAAAAAATGAATCCTTTACAATCCATCGAGGAAGAATTTCATGGATCGAGCTCACTGCATTCTGGTGAACCATTAATGGGTTTTCCTCAGCCATTGGAGGGGCTCCATGAAACAGGCCCTCCGCCTTTCCTCAAAAAGACTTATGAACTTGTCGATGATCCGAACACGGACGATGTCGTTTCTTGGAGTAGAGGTAACAACAGTTTCATTGTTTTGGATCCACAGGCCTTTGCCATGAATCTTCTTCCTAGGTACTTCAAACATAATAATTTCTCAAGCTTCGTCCGACAGCTTAATACTTATGTAAGTTTTCTCTTTGTTAAAATCTTGTTTATTGTATTGTCCAATATGAGTTGGGATTTTCATAAATTTAACTTCGATGATTTTTGAGTATTGTAGTGGAAATGGGGTGCCCTAGATTTGGTTTATTTAAAATATATACATGTTCGTGAAGGAACTAGAATTTAGTTATTTTTAAATCTTGTTTTTATTTTTTGTGGGACTACTATACTTTATTTTTTTGTTTGAAAATGGAAAGTTGGTGTTGTTTAATGTATTTCACACTGTAGATTTTTTGTCTGTTCAATGGCTTTAAAGGGAAAGTCTGAAATGTCTACACTATTCTTCAGTATCTGCATTTCATACTATTCATTATTTCTCGAGTAATCTCCACAGCCATATCAAGATTTGCTTTCTTCATCCTTTCTATATAGATCTCAGATTAAACTAAGCTTTCGACCATGTCGAAAATAAGAAAAGATTTTGTGATCTCGTGATATTTTTCATAATTTATGTGATTATATATTCACTAATAGTTTGATTTTGTAATTAGTGTATAATGTTTTCATTTTCGAGCTATTTGTAAATTGTAACCTTATAAACAAAGTCTTTCTATATATCTTCTTTATTTTTTGAGTATTTGTATAGATAGTAATTAATCAGTTGACTTGACTCATACAAATATAAAATAGATGGATTAATGTTGGTGTTATATTATGTCTCTTCCCTTAACTTCCATATTTCTATTTGAGTGGAAGGTAATTTGTGGTATAATTTAATTATGACTTTCGTGATATTTTTCAGAGTTTATGTGATGATTATGGATGATAGTTTGATTACGTAATTAGTATATGATCTTTTTTTATTATGTAATTAGTCTACAATATTTCCTTTTCAAGTTATTAATTTGTACCCTATAAATAGATTTTTTCTATATAATTTCAATTATTTGTCTGAGTCAACTCGACTAATATAATATATCGAATGATAGTTTGTGTTATGATTTAGTTATGAATTTGTCTAGAATGGCATAGTCTATATTAAGAATAAGTTAGGACATTCTCACTCTTTCGTTATCTTATATATATTTCTATTTCAAGTATATTCATTTTATAGTATTAACAAAAAAAAAAATTAATAAATAAATAAAAAATAAAAAATAAAGCATTTCGGTTTGTTTCTATATGCTTGTGAATGTAAATTGTTCAGGGATTTAGGAAGGTTGATCCAGACAAATGGGAGTTTGCTAATGAAGGGTTTTTGAGGGGGCAAAGACATCTTTTGAAAAACATAAGGAGGAGAAAAACATCGTCGAATCCTCAAGCTTCGCATCAAGGTCTCGACTCATATGTTGAAGTGGGAAAGTTTGGATTGGATGCAGAAATCGATCAGTTAAGACGCGATAAACAGGTTTTAACTGTGGAATTGGTGAAACTCAGACAACAGCAGCAGAATAATAATGCATACCTTAAAACAATGGAACAAAAGCTTAAAGGGACAGAAATGAAACAACAACAGATGGTGAGTTTCTTGGCAAAGGCAATTCAAAATCCTAATTTTTTACAACAGATAGTCCAACAGAAGAATAGAAGGAAAGAACTAGAGGAAGCGATTAGTAAGAAGAGGAGGAAGAGAATTGATCATGGTCGAGCCGAGGTTGGTGAAGAAACGAATACTTATGTTGACAATGTTGAATTCGAAGAAATAGTCAAGATAGGGGAAGGAAACATTTATGTTAAATCTCAAGAATATGGTGATATTATTGGAGAACCAAGTGGAATCTCAATGCATATGGAGGAAGAACGTTTACAGAAAAATGATGACACAGAAAATCAAGAAAATGCAGATAAGTCATTTGATGTAGGATTTTTGGAAGACTTTATAAATGAGAGTATTGATGATGAGATTGGGACATTTGTTGATGAGGGAGAAGTTGAAGAAGAAGTAAATGTTTTAGCTCGGCAGCTTGGTTTCTTGGTATCTAGCCCTAGATAGAAATTCGACTGGGTTTATTGCATGATAGTTGGGCGCATTGGATAACATTAGACGCAATCAAGGAAGAAGAAGTTATACCGTCTATTTAGATACATCGATACGGTACTTATGTTTCTAAACATTTGTAAACTACAATGACTTGGTCGAAAACCGCATAAACTTTGGTGATTTTCTATTTCCCATTTCCTTCTGATGTAGTTATCTGAATTTCTCAAGAATTTAATCTGTAATCAGGGATCTTTATGTTCTCTGAGACATTAAATTCTATCTTTTCATGTCATTTATTCAAACTCAAGAGTTAATCTTTTCTCTGAGTGCCTAAAATACCAGTTATAGTAATGCCTGATGGGTTTTCCGACACTTGGTGTAATTATTTTACAGTTCACTAGTTTATTAATAAACAATATAAATTATGCTTGATCTAAGTCATTAAGATTACTTAAGTGTTTTGACTAATGGAACGAAGGATTTGGTGGTAATAAGATGATTGAAAATCAGCTGGAATGACTTTCAAACAAAAGAGTATGTACCAGAAATTGACACGGGTGGGTACTCTACACCACATTACATAGATATATGTAAAAAAAATTTTGTAGAAAATCATATCGAATCATTTGTAATTACAATATGGTGTCAGATGTCACATTTTTTTGTCTGCTAATGTTACTCGGGATGGTTCATGTCAGAGTCTTGAATGGAATTTCTCGTGTTATATCAGATATGCATATTGTGTACATACAATAATTTAGGCAAATATTAAAGGCGTATGTCCTATACATGCACACCCACAACATCTGCAAAGAAACTTTTTGCTTCTAATGCAAGAATGGGCAAAAGTTGAGTCTTTCTCTTCCATTAGCTGGTTATTTACATAATTTCTTACAAAAGGAATTGAATAGGTTCACAAAAGATTTTTACATGTCTGGCTGTTTAACAGGATAGAACTGCACATGCTGTGCATGAACCAGTCATAAGTTTGTGTTGGCATGCCCAACATTTCTTGCTCTTGCAGGCTCAGACCATATTTTATTAATTGATTGATAGTACTTTAATTATTATTATTATTATTATTTTTGCCTTTTTGGTAATACAATTCACAAGTATCATCAATTACATCAAGATATGCAGCTTGGCTTGCATTATCTAAGAGCAATGAACCCGATCCAGTTAAGAAAAATGCTCGACAACTTTTCGCATTGCCAAGAATAGGTGAACCCAATCCATGGTAGCTTTTGGAGTTGTCCTAGTTAATTCAACGTCGTTTAATGTATTAAATATGTAAAAGAAATTTAACTTGTATTTGTAGTCACGACTTAATTAGGTTTATTAGATAATGTAGTTAAGCGATATTTTCTAAGACCGATTAAAAAGTTAAGCAGCTCGCCTGTTTTCTAAAACGGTGTAGTTTTTATATGAATAGAAATGTATTGTTACATGTTTATGAAATTATTAAAGAAAGTTAGAGACTTACTTTCCTCTTCTCTCTCTTTTTACCCTCTGTTCTTTAAGATCGATGTTGCATTAGTTCTTTACATTAAAGATTAGGTTAATGCAGCATATTTAAGCTGTAACCAAAAACCACATAAGTTGGTGCCAGCGCTAATTGAAATATTTGGAAACCAAACTATGATTTTTAGTTTGTAAAGATGAAGAGTTCATTTTTATCTAAGAGCTTTGAGATATTGTGGAAAGTAACTATTAAGAATTCGATAATGACGAAGGGTTCTCAGAGTTAGAGGTCGAGAAGAAAAGGCTTAAAAGTTAAATGAAATATGCAAAGATGTGCAAATGCTCTTTCAATGTTATCTGATGATGGCAGTCAAAACACATGAAGCTTAGGAGATTTTAAATAAGGAATTTAAATGGGATTTGAAGGTAGGAGCCAATAAACTCCAATATCCTTTAAATGGTGGATTATGAGATTTTTGGTGCAGGCATATTTTCTCCATTTCTCCGTTGACTTTTTAGGGCATTGCTTTTAGAGGAGAATTATTTAGGTGTTTCTTTGGAATAAGTTTTAAAGATTTGTGATTATGTGTGGCAAATATAAAAAGATTAGGTATAATTTGCACAAAAAAAAAGTTTGGGTACTGTCATTGCAATTATTTATTTTTTGTTTTAATTTTTTTTTTTTACTATTTTTAACAGCAAATTTGTCGAATCATGACAATGAGGGATATTTCGCACAAAAGATGCCAAACAAGGGAATTTTCTATGCTTTTTAATAGATATATGAATATATCGCACATGAGAATGTTTCTAGGGGTTTTCTACTATTAATCCAAAGAAAAATATTAAAAGCTACCAATATGTTTCAATTTTCCAAACACAAATAGGTTTTTTTTTTTTTTTTTTTTTTTTTTTTTTTTTTTGCAAGGGACAAATTCATATATACTTTATTAATATTTACTAATTCATTTTATACTATTAAACCCAATTAATAACCGAAATTACTCCATAAATCCATTAGAATCCCAAAAGTACTGTATCATGCACTTTCCTTTTTGGATATGTGACTGAAAATTTTTAATGACAATGAAAAGGAGGAGATGCAGTAAATCCTATTGTTGAATATATGGAGATTTCAAAATCAAATTGAAGATACTATTAACACTTAAGTTGAGATTACTCATCACCGACGACTGTGGCGAATTGGTTTCAAAAGATATTCATCGAGTGTTACATCCAACAAGTGATTTCGTTGAAACATGTACAAGAAATTTTTTCCAAAATGATTAAAGGTAACCTTTTCCATTTGTAATTATTAATTATGAATACTGCAACTTTGGATATTACACTAATATACATTTTTTTTTTTTTTTTATCACAATGCCTACGAATATAGGACACTAAATCAGAATAAAGTGAAAGGAAAAATTGTGTATTGTGTAGGAAGTTTTTATCAGGACTCCATCATCGATGAATAAGGTGGAGTTGGGATTATCAGGCTGATTTAACATAGACATTGCCTTCCCTAATCTGATACGAGGAAATTTTTCTTAGTATTAAAGATGGTGCAAAGATTGATAAGTACATCAATTCAACTAGGTTCATCATATTTTTTCCATTTGTTTTTTTTTTCCACGCTGTTAAAATGTCATCATATTTTTGAGTAACCTTGATTCAGGCCAAATAAATCCAGAACACTGGCAATCAAACATGGGAGAAAAAAAAAAAAAATACAAATCGCTCAAGCTTCTCCATTGTATCTCTGTTTATGAAACCCAATTTTTTTGGGTCCTTTTGAATTGAATGTGATTCTTGTCCATTAGCAAAGGAATTTTCAAGGGATATTTACTCTAGCTGCTGTAATTTAACATATATACACTTATATTGCCATTTGAAATGAAACCTGATTCCATGTGAAAATACATGAAATGCTTGACTTTTGATTTCAAATTTTCACAGAATTTAAAATATGAATGATTCATTACATTTTGAAAAGTCGAGCACCTAACAGTGATGTGTTCATCTTTTGGAAATGATAAGCAATTCGAACGTAACAAAGTGACTCATTGATTTGTTTCGCGCTGATTCTGCGACACACTAACCTGTTATTATATGCCTCAAAAACATAAGTATGAAGTAGGTAATATTACATTGATTGTAGCATAACTGAAAAAAATAAAGGAAAAATTGGAATCAACACTTCAGAATAATTTGTAGTATGACAATATAAGTAACAATATATTTTAGGAAATGACAAATATGATTAAAATTGACAAAACAGCATACTAGGATTTTTACAAAATGAGATCAACGTGTCATCCAAACCATGCAAAAATTAAAAAATTCCCAAACCAAAAACTTAAATAGTGCAAGGATGGGGTAAAAACATCAAGACTAAATATTCTCGATAAAAATATATATATATGAAGTTGAAATTTAGTACAGCTACACAATTATGATACCATTTAGCTTCCATTTCCTCCTTATGCCCCATGATACAAGATCAAAGTCGGTCTCATAACTTTCAATAACCTTCTCACATACATGCTTGTATAGTTGAGTTGTCAGGTACGATCTTGAAATAATGCTGCAACGTACCTTGGGATTGTAGCAAGGAAGAAACCAATAATAAATCTTCAAAAAGATTCCTAACAGATCAACAAAAATGGAAGGAACAACTAGAAAAAAAATCATGGAAGAATTAATTAAATAACATTATGAAGATATTTCGCTATAAAGATCAGGTTTATGAAATTTCAAAGATATGCATTTATAACACAAAATTACAGTTGAAGTACTGTAAGAAACAATCATGTGTGAGAGAGAGAGAGAGAGAGAGTCTCTTCATACATACTAGAGAGATTGGAGTAATCATCCATAACAAAAACATTCTATAACATTATGATTTTCATTTTACATCGTTTTCTATCAAAAGATTTGGTGGAGCGATTATAGCTATTGAACCAATTAATTGATAAGAGAAGCAGTCACCGGCCCTGGGGTAAGGCTAACAACGCAATGGCCTAAGGCCTCAAATCATATGGGGGTCTAAAAAATGAAAAACAATTCACTTAAGAATTCCAATTAAATTTAAAGGATAGATATAAAAATTAATTTGACTACAGTATTTTTTTGTTGATTTAAACTTAGTACAATCTTATTCAAATTAATATTTCTCAAATTTAATAAACATGATTAATTTTGAGTTACCAAACGAGCTCAAGGTTGTTAGGGTAATCTGATTTAATTTAAAAACTAATATTACATATCAAGTTGTTATTTTAATGAGTTATAACTTGAATTTGCTTTATCAAAATTAACATTTTCTCGAGTCTATAATGTGTCATTTATCACGAGTTTCGGAATGAGTCCAATGTTGATAGAATAATTTTGATACTCCAATAAATACACATTTGGTACAAATACATTATTGACCTTAAAACTTATTTTCACTTTAATCCCTCAAAATCTTGAATTTATTAAAATGTTATTGAATCAAAATCATAAGAATCTAGTTACGTTTTTAATCACTAAATAATCATAAGTCATCACATTATCATCTAAAAATTATATATTTCTCACTATTTTGCAATCTAGACCCTAATTTTTGTACTTTTTATAACTGAAAATCATTTTTCTCTTTACGAGTCATCCTTACAATATTCAAAGGATTTCAAATTATGGTTCATAAAAACTATTTCATGATTTGTAAATTACACTTCATTCAAGTTTTTTTAATTAATAATTTTGAAGATAACTATTTACATGACAATTTATATTTTTTTTTCCACAAACGGGACAATTTCGCTAAATATTATGTTAACCTTGTCTCTAGAGTTGTCGGATTTTTTTAGGTTTTTTGCAATTCTATCTTATAGATTGTACCCAATCTTCTTCTAAAATATAAATATATTATTTATTTAAACATTTAAAGTATTTTTACGTTTGTAAAAAAATTACGTTCAAAGGCGTCATAATGATGATTCGCCTAGCTCCTCAAAATTCTCGGACCGGCCCTGGATGTAGTTTTGTAGTTATTATTTTTACTATAAAAAATGCAATATTTTTGGTTTAAATAATGGCTAATTATAAAATATGCATACATGTATTTAACAAGAAAATTTATGGTGTAATAAGGGTTGGGTATGGGTTGGATCGATTTTTTCTCCAACCCAAACCCAACCCAACCCAACATGATCGATTTTATTTAAAGTCAATCCAATCCAATCCAAATAATGATTTAAACCCAACTCAACTCAACCCGACCAAGTTCGGATTCGGTCGGTCGGTTTGGGCTTCTGCCCAATTAAAGTTGGATCCGATTATATTTTTGTTAAATTTTGATAAATTTTTAAAGTTTGAAATTACTCGAAAGTCTCTCTCTCTCTTTAATTACCTATATAAGGAATTTTTTTTGAAAAATGATGTATAAATAAGTTTAAAATTTATAAAATATTCTTTTTTAACAATTTTTTTTAGATTTATTCATTTCATCATCATCTTCTTAATTTTTACTTTATTATCAAATAATATTTCATTTGTACATTGTGTTCATGGGAATCAATCTATATTAAAAAATGGACGTTTATAAATTATAAGTCCTTCTCATATCTTTACAATTGTGTTTATTTAATTTTTTTTTTCATTTTAGATATTAATTTTTTTAAGTTATTGGGTTGGGTTGGGTTGAATTTTAAATCATAAACCGAAACTCAATCCAATCCAACCTCAGATATATTTTTCAATCCAATCCAATTAAACTTAAAAAACAAACCCAAATTGATCGTGTTACTTTGAATTGATCGAGTTGAGCGGTTTGCGTTGGATTTTGCACAACCCTAGATGTAATTTCCACTTGTTACAAATTTGCTATCCTTTCCACTATTTTAAAAATCGTATTGGGTTCCGTGCTCCACAGCCCCAATCAAGCGAAACACGTGGATCTGGGACCATTTAGTTGGGCTTCGAGCCCGTGGCCCAATTCCAGATAAACACGTGGAAGGTCGGTGCTAGAATGAGCTTACAGGAGACACGTTACAATTTTTATTATTCTTCTTCACGATAATATAATATTACTATCATTCTCCCAATCTAACAATTTGATAGTAATTTTGGAAATTGATTTTTTGATTGTTAAGAAAAAAATAGAGGTCAATTATAAAAAAGAAGTCAAAAATTATGGATGAAATATGTGAAATAACAATAAAAAAATAAATCAACATTTTGCGATGAAAAATCACGTCCAAACGGAACATTATTTTGATTTTTGCTATTGCATGACTTGGATCCATTCAATTTGGATTCACGTGAAATTTTAAATAGAGAGAGAAATAGTTCAGATAACATATAATGGGCGAATAAATTTATAATACATTTCAAATTTAAGTTTTCATTCAAAATTTTTGCAAGTTCAAAGAAGGATTAATAAAAGTTCAGAGATTATTATCAATTAAGTATGTCACGTTGAACGACTGCAATAGTATTATTCTTATTTTTCCATCTTATCCATATATCAAAAGGGCATTTGTGGAATTCAATTATTGCTCGAGAAACTTGTTCAACCGACTTGATAAATCTTCTCTAATCTTCGTATTATATAAATAAATCCGTTCCTTATTGTCTACTTATAACAGAGAAACGAAACAACAAAAAGTCAAGAAACTACCCACAATTTGCTGATCCCATCTTCTCTTTTCATTTGCAATCAAGAAAATCCAAGGGGAAGAAAATGCTGGCAGTGTTTGATAAGACTGTAGCGAAGAGCCCCGAGGCCCTGCAGAGCCCACATATCGCAGGATCGGCGTTTGCACTCAAAGATGGTTCTTTGGCTAGCCATTTCTCGTCCATGCACCCTGGTTCTGTCATTATTAATCTTGGTTCATCTGGATTCATGTCATACTCTTCTGATAAGCAAAACCCTCTTCTTCCAAGGTAATTGCTGCTTACTTGTGTTTATTTTGTCCTTCTTGATCTGATCTGGATATTGTTTGTTTTTGGTTTTTGATGATTATGGTGTATCTGGGTATTATCTGTTTGTATACATATCTTAATTGGAGATTGAGTGTGTTTTTGGATGCTGAAAATAATGGGGAGTCATGGATGATGGATCTTGATTTATTTATTTATTTTATTTTATTTTTGAAACAAATTAGGAAATTGTTGGTTGGTAATAATTTTTATTTTTTTGTTTTTCTCATTTCTAATTCTGAGAAAAGAACCAATATTCGGCGTGCTTGCTTCGTTTAATTACTGCTATTTAGGGAAATACAGTTTCAAGATAGGCCAATTTCTTGATTGTTAAGCTTTTTATCTTGTTTAACTCTTTTTCAGTATCTTTCTATCTAATCACCTCTGTCTTAACGTTACTGATCTAGATAGAATGATATGTACTTGAAGAGATGCAACAAACTTGAAAAATTTCGGGTGTCCTTTACGAAAACTGTCAAAATTATAATTTGTGAACAATTGTTATGAGGAGGTTTTGTCAGCGAGTTTTGATGATTCCTGAACAAACGCGGTGCTGGAATGTGCTTTCTGGCTGCCTGATGAAGTGAAAAAAAGGGTGGGGAATCCACAGAGAATATAAATATGAAATTGAAAAATGTATATTCAATCCAGGAGGCCCAAAATCTTGAGTCTCATATAGAGTCGTACATTGCTTATGTGGTATCAAGATCTTTGTACACGTGTCTTTACTTAGGACTGCAGAGTTATATCCTTATCCATCCCACGAAATAAGGAATGGATATAGGGGGTAAATAGATGAATTTTTGGACAACTGGTATGAATGTTGTTGAAATGTTCGTGCCATTACCTATGTTTCACTTACTAAAGAAGTTGAATGACTAATCATTCGAGTCATGACATATAAACCCTGTATGCAATTTCAAGAATAATTGTCATGTAGATTGATATTCGAATGATTGATCGATTTTTCATAGGCTAAGCTAACAGTCATGGCCTGACAAAGTGCTTGTACCACTGCAATATGGATTCATTAGCAGACGGCACAAATGTTACTTCATATGCTCGTCATTTCATTAAATTGTTACTTCTTGTAGTTCAGATTGTTACTGGTTTTGCTAAGTTGCTAATTTATATTTGGATTTTTCTATTCATTTGGTTGTCTTTTCAAGACTTTTTGCTGTAGTCGACGACATATTCTGTGTGTTTGAAGGCCACATCGAGAATGTTGCGCATCTTAAGCAGCAGTATGGATTAAACAAGACGGCAAACGAAGTGATCATTGTTATTGAAGCTTACAGGACTTTAAGAGATAGAGGTCCTTATCCTGCAGATCAAGTTGTGAGAGATATTCTAGGGAAGTTTGCATTCATTCTTTATGATGGTTCTTCAAAAACCACATTTATTGCAGCTGTGAGTAATTCTTAATCCCTTTGTGTTTTGTTTGGTACACCGAATTTGACTGTACAAGGAATTAACTATAAAATGTAAGTAGATGTAGTATACTGATAGTATTAGGTGGATAGTATGTTTTTGTTTTTTATTCAAAAAATGGTATTTACACTGCCTTTCTTAGTCCGCATAAGATATGAAGTTTAATTATCATTCTCTTGAATGAAAAACTCATAAATATCATCGTGGATGGTATGTTTTTGTTTTTTATTCAAAAAAGGGTATTTGCACTGCCTTTCTTTGGCCGCGTAAGATATGAAGTTTAATTATCATTCTCTTGAATGAAAAACTCATAAATATCATCGACTTGAATCCATCCTAATACTATCTATATAGTACTCTATCTCATGTAATTTTATGCATAGTTTCTTGTACAGTCTAATCCGTTCTGCCAAACCTACTCTCGATGTTTTCTTTTTGTTTAGCACCTTATACAGGTTAGATTTTACCTCATTCTATATATTTCAATATTTCTAATACAGGATGCTGATGGTAGTGTTCCATTTTTCTGGGGAACTGATTCTGAAGGTCATCTCGTGCTCTCTGATGATGGAGAAGTTGTGAAACAAGGGTGTGGAAAATCTTTTGCCCCATTTCCCAAAGGTACTTAGGTTTTTGCATAACTTTAAGTAATTGACAGTTCTTTTAATGCGTATTTTGCATGGACAAGAATTATTTTTGGGTTCTGATATACCCCCCTTTGTTGTATGAAATTGGAAGATGGAAATAGTATGAGAAATAACCAGGCACAGGCCTTGTTCTACCTTCTTTATCCGAGTGTGGCTCAAGACTGTTGGGGATATGGGATTGGGAGTCTCACCATAATTTTTCTTTTATCTGACTTTTAAAGTTGTTCTAAATTTATAACGAAAAGAGAGGTGCTTAATGTTGTTTATTCCTTCCTATGATTCAAAGCTTTATTTTTTCTTTCATTCAGGATGCATCTTCACTTCTTCTGGAGGTCTACGGAGTTATGAGCATCCCATCAACGAGTTGAAGGCAGTTCCGAGAGTGGACAGCTCAGGCGAGGTCTGTGGGGCAACCTTTAAGGTGGACTCAGAGTCAAAAAAGGGAAAAACTGGCATGCCTAGAGTCGGAAGTGATGCGAACTGGTCTCAACATATATGATGTAACTGCTAATATTTCTAAATCTGATTCCCCCTGCGTGTAGTAGTTGGGCCATTTTAGGCCTGGAAACACCCAAAATAATGGCACGTTAGCTCTATGTAATAACATATCGGGTGTCTGTTTTATTGCCTGGTTCTTGCATTTTATAATTTTTGTGAGGAGAAATGAACTCAAATATACAGCTAGAGTGCTCACTTTTATTCTAGTCATATATTTGCTTTGACGTCTTGTTCTTTAAATTGAAGAATGCTGTTAGCTTAATCCCATAAAAAGCGTGTTGTTAAAGCTCTTTTAAGTTTTATATCGAGCCCGTTTGGTGCACATTATTTGGGAAAATAATACATTTTTTCCATCAAATCAGCCTACAATTTTTCACCTCAACACTCTAAGGTAGGATTTATGATGTGATGTTTAAAATGTATTTTTGTTGAAAAAATGTGGAACGAACGGGATCATCCTAAACTTTCCTTTCCATCAAAAGATGCTGCCATGGCAAATTGTGCGCTTTATAAGGTTGGTCGTGAACCAAAAATGGGCTTTTTGCCCGAATGAAGAAAAATTTAATCAAAACACCCAAATCCGGTCATTAAATAGTTTTTCTTAAATCAGGTGTTTATTATATAGAATAAGTAGTTTAAATTTTTTTACGGATATTTCAATAGTATATTTTCAGAGAATACTGAAAATTGGAATGAATTTCGAGAGTAAGATATCTCTATATTTCGCATTTCCATTGGAGTCAACTTCATATTGATACCCTATTTACACCAAACAATCGAATATTTCAATCGTAGTAACTCGAAGTATCGATCATTTCAAGAAATTGAAAGAGAAGGTTTCAAATCAGAAAAATAATTGAAGCGAATTTCAAGTGAATAGGAAGCTCATTTGTGGAAGAGGATTAATGGTGTCTTCAACGTTGTTGTTGTTGTTGTGTGTGTGTGTGTGTGTTGGTAGGGGTTTTGCGTACACCCAACATTTCTCTTATGTAAATTATATTTGTGATTGCTATTGTCTATACCTCTAAGTGATGTGACATGTTTATATTTGTGACTTCGTTGTTGGCCCTGATCAAACAGGCACTTAGGGTCTCATCTCAAGATGGGAAATTGACACCTTCTAAATGCATGATCAGATCAAGTTTTCATATTTGGGTATATTATAAAAAGCGTGCATCTTTAGAAAGGACAGAGGTTGTTCTTTCATTGCTGTACTTTTCACTTTTAATTAGTAGAGTAGTGCTGATGATTCTTTTGAAGTAGATACATGAATGCCAAACATCAAATTGTGGGCAGAGCCACTTATCTCGAGCCACATTGGCCCCTCAAATTGTAGGTTCGGATGGTGCATCTTTACTAATTATTCGTTTCCAATTGGCATGAGTGATCATGAACTAAGAAATGGATGCTAGAAGATAACAAAAGAATATCTTGAGCAATTGTAATAATTGATTGATCCTACCAAGCTTTTGAAACCGCCACAACACCAAATTTTTCTAGAACTCAAATCTTAATTTCTAGAGTAATTTATAGAGTCCATTTCACAACCGAATATATGATTCTTTCATCTTTCCTACTTTTTATCTATATTCGTACTTGTACTTGGTAATGTCGAATCTTTTTATTTTTTCTGCAATTGCAATATATATAGGCAGAGTTTAAAGATCTCTCGCACTATCTCTCCTTTCCCTTCCCTATAAGAAATTCTACATTTAATAATGAAATTTTTGTCTTGGTCCTTTTTAAACGAATAACCCAAAAATTACATTTTACTATAAGAACATTCGTTATTAAAAATGGATTTTATTTTTTTTTTAGTGATTTCCCCCCTTGTTGATATATTTGTGAGGGGTGCCGTTCACATCAAATTAATGGTTGTGACAAAAAATAATGATGAAAATGTACAATATCCAATAGCAAAATTTCCATATTCTGTCAAAATATTTACAAAAAAAAAAAAAAAAAAAAAAAAAAAAAAAAAACCTCTCAATACGATAAGATTCCCAACATATAGCTTCAAGAACTCATGGTACAAATGGATGTGATGGATCTCTCAAGTCTAAATACATAATACATGATTCAAATTAGCAAAGTTTATGTCCACATTCCTATAAATAAAGATACATTTGGAATTAGAACTAAAATTTGCAAATTAAGCAACAAAAATACTATCTCTAAAATTTCAAGGCAGGGGCGTCGGAAATGATTAATAAAATATAGGATATATGCAGAAATCAGGACAGTGTATCACCAAAATAAGAGAAAGGACACTGCTAGGCAGAGTGGCGGATCCATCACCCATGGTCGCGCATGCTGGATCAGCTGAAGCAATTTTTTTGATTGACAATTGATAAGATTTTTAGTTTATATTACTAGTTATTCACTTTAATTCCAATAATTTCTTCTAGTCAAGTTGGTTAAAACTTGGATGTACATGCCTGAAGTCTTAGGTTCAAATTCCTTACTAACCAATTTATCGTGTGCAATAACTATAGTTCCATAATTTTTGCCAAAATTAATGCAAAGGGAGAGAGCTAGAGGGGATTCAAATGTATGATCTCTTGCAAGGATTGTTGAATGCTCAACCATTATGGCACTTCTTGAAGGTTGAAATAAATTTAACAAAATAATATATATTAGGTTTAAACAATTTTAATGCAATTGTAAAAATTTGAACTCATGCTCTTTCTTTGAATTGTACAAAACTTGACAACAATGTCATTTGGTGAGTATCGTTTATTCTTATAACAGATTTATATATGTTCAATTCGAACAAAATAATTGTTATATCTAAAATTTAGGCATTTTTTGATTTCCATCTATTTCAAAAAATATTTTTCTCTATCTTATTTTCAACCATATATTCTTCAATTAAATAATATTTTACACGCAAATTCAAAAATTTTCCTTATTTTTAACCACATGTTATCCATTAAATCACTATTACAAAATGCATTTTTAGCAAAAAATAAAAAATAAAAAAAATAGGACATTAAATGAGGTCTTAATATTTTATTGTGGTCGACCGTCAACGGTTGACGGCCGCCTGTGCTGATCCAAATTCTTGGATTTGTCACTGAGTAGGTATGTCAAGACTGTTGACCCAAGGCATATCTAAGGATCTTGGAATCCTAGATTTTGGGTGTCACACAAGTTTTTTGTAACCAAAATACAAACAATCAACATACAAATTTCTATAGGATAGAAACTCAATAAATTCAAAATCATGTGACGGAACCAAGAAGGGTAATTACATACCTTCTCCATCAAAAGAAACGAAAAGATTATAATTATGGGTCATTCAAGAAGACTTTAAGCATCAATCACATGAAAGCCAACTGGCAAGTCTAATTAGACCGCACTACACACTTCCTAACTAACTTAGTGAGGCTATATAATTAAGGTAGATGAAATTATGCATCACCTCAGTCAAAGTGCCATGTAGAGGTCGCCCCTTCATGGTCGATACAAGGTGCTATAACCTGTTGCAAAGAAAATTTGAAGCGATTAGCCTCTTATTGTGAGAAGTGCATCTCTCGCTTCCCCTATTCCAAGAGATCTCCATACAAGATCTTTCTTTAATTGATTGCAGGGCCGTAACTGTGCTTCGCGGGATCTGAGGCGAATTTTGGAATTTGGGCCCTAGGCCCGAAGTCGTAGCAAACAATCCTTTTTTAAAAAAAATAAAATAAAAAATTAGAAGTTTACGGAATTAAATTTGTTAACTTAAATCAACAATAAAACAACAAATAAATTTTTTGACGTTCCTTCCTTTTCTTCTCATTAAAGTATTTATTTGTTTCTTTTGAACGCATGGGTACAATGGGTTATAAAAAATAAATAAAAGGTAAAAAGTAAAAAATGGGCCCCCTAAAATTCTAGGCCTGAGGCGGAGGCCTCTTGGGCCTCCCATCAGGTCCGACTCTGATTGATTGACGTGACATCTCTGTAACAAACACCTCACATTCAACTTGTCAACCTACTTTTTATAGGGTTAGTCTATGGGTACAGGAAATAACCACGGAATTGTTACAGATTTTTGAATTTGCTGACTTGGAATAGAATTAAGGGAGTGTTTGATAGCATGGAAATGGAAAAAAAAAAAAGAAAAAAGAAAAGATGGAATTGGAATTGGAAATTCCAACTTTTAGTGTTTGATACCTTATATTTTCCATGGAATTGCATTTCTTGGATTTCTTGGAACTTGGAATTTTCCTTGTTTTAGTGGAATTTGAATTCTCACCATAAATGATGAGAATTCAAATTCTACCATATTGTAGCGATTATTATTATTTTTTCGTCTTTTTTTTGGTTGGTAATGGAAACCAATTCTAAGAATTATTTTAAAAAAATATTTTCCTTTATTTGACAATTTTTATGTAAAACAAAGCTAAACGAACATTAAAAAATACTTTTATTTCAACATTTTTCACGTGGAAAATTATACCAATCAAACACAATAATTTATAATTCCCAGGAAAATAATTATAGGCAATTCAATTCCTTGGAATTCGTTTTCTAAACAATTCAATTCTATTTTTACAATCAAACGGACCCTAATTATTTTTTTTATTCTCTTTTCAATTTAAGCCAAAAATCGGTTCGAAAAGCAAACCGGTTTGACCCTTTTTGATAAGAATAAAACTGGACGTCCAGGGGCCTGACAGACGACCCCCCAATAGGGGGGCGCCAAATAGGCGCCTGGACGTCCCTGGACGTCCAGCACGTCTCTTTTGATAAACCTGTCTTCATCTTCCCAAAAAAATTCTAGACATTTCTCCCAAATCACAAAGCAAGAGGAAACCTGTATGCTTCTTCATCGCCGACGTCGATCGGCGCGCACCATTGGCCACCGTGCGAGGACGACAGCCCACCGAAACCCAACGTCGAAATAGCATTTGAAGACGGCAGTCGAATCATAGATGCTAGGCAAAGGTATTTTGTTAATTACTGATTTATGCATTTCTTTATCAAATTTAAGGTTAATTTATGGTTAAGCTGTCTTAGACTTGTTTACATGATTTGGGTGTTATTTCCTCTTTATTTAGACATATTTGAAGTATGTTGGTTGTGGAGCGTGACTGTTGATAAAGTTGAAGTATTTGATTTCTTGTTCTTCCTAAATTACTGAGATTTTTCATAAATTTCTGAGTCTGATTGTTAAGTTCATTTTTCATAAAGAGGGGTATTTTGTTCTAGGCAAAGGTATTTTTCATAAATTTTTGGGCAAAGGTATTTTGTTCATTTTTCAATAAAAGTGTATTTTTCGTATAGAGTATGCTTAAGTGTGCCTATTTTTGTTAAGCTACTAGAAGAATTATGCTTAAGTGTGCCTACTTTTGTATGCTAAGCATGAAGGCAATTCTGGTTTCGTTGAGGTTGAATGAAGCCATATCCTATGTGTGTTCGTAAATGGCATAAGAAATGAAGCCGGAAGAACCACAAAGCATTATGAACATGAAGCATGTATCATAATATAAGCACCAATTCTTCATAATCAAACACAACAATGAATATCAAGATTATAAGCAGCAGCAGTACTGCAATGATGCACCTTTTGTCCATGGGGAAAGGAGCATGTTAGCCCTCAAATGAGGGATCCTATGTCCTTTTGAATGAGACTTCTATTTGTTCCTCATTTTCCACTATAACTTTGTTTGTAATGTGCTGTTATTCTTAAGTTTGAATGTGGGATTTCAAAACTCAGTTGCATTCATGTGAGATTATTTGTTTCGTCAGCAGTTGTTGAGTAGAATGAGAGGAATGAATTTCAGAGTTTGTCACGACTATAAAAGTAACACTCACTACTTCGGAAAATGCCAAACAAAACGTGGATGCCCTTCATGTAAAAGCGGATTTCGAAAATGTTTTGAGGTAGAACGGGATACTAGAAATAAAGGGCGCTTGTTCTTTACGTGTAATAACGACTGTGGATATTTCGATTGGGTGAAAAATGAAGATATAAGCAAGGAGTCGAGTACCATTAACGAAGAGGTGAAGCATGAGCCCAATGAGGTATACAAAGACTTGCTAAGAGTCTTAGCCTAGCTCGAATTATCGAGAAACGAGATGTCAACATAACATTGCACGTTACATTTCGCAAAGGAAAAGGAATTGTAGAAAGTGATGGGAAGAGAAGGGACCGATGTGAATGGGTGATGTCAATTTGTATTTGCTATATGCTTTATTTGTACTATAAGAACTTATTGGTCATAGTAGTCTTCGATATTCAATGCTTAATTTTGTCAACGTCGTTCGAGCTTTGGACATAAGTTTAATATTTTGCGAATTGTTGTATTGCTTAGTAGGCTTGTTTTAATATTTTTGCACAATTTTGTTCAAGAATTAGTAGGCTTCTTCAAGATGTACATTGACAGAATAAATTGCCTCACTTTGCATTAAACAAACAAACAGGTTTGAATATAAAATACAAAAAAAAAAAACAATGTTGGTACCTGTTTTGCATTAAAATCAGAAGTCCAAATCAAAATTTATATAAACATTTCCCAGGGCCAAGTCACGTGAACAAAACTCGATTTTAGTTCCAACAAGACAAACTCCGACCGCGAAAAGTGTTCGAAATCAATTAGCATGTAACAACAGTTTTAGGAGTTTTTACACTAAGATCTTGAAGGCCCGAATCTGATAGTACTTCACACACAAATGCACAATGGTCTGTCCTTGACCCACGATCACTCAAGCTGCATCAGGTTTCGCACGAACCAATTCTTTCATGACTTCAATCCTGCCTTTTACTCAATGTCTGCAAATTGTTACAAATTAGGAAGATCAAATTACACGATCACTCGAGCTACATAATTCGGTTTTCTTGGGTGCATAAATGAGGGCTGAGAAGCGTATGTGAAAGATTAGTGCAAAAAAATATTTCACAGAAAATGTACTTCTAAATTCTTTCATAACGGACCGAACATGAACTATGATTTTTTCATTCACAAATGTTCGTGAACAGAATAATCAAGGAAATCTCTAAAATTCATTTTACATAGATCTACTTTTTACCCTAAAATATATACAGTAGATTGATCCCATCCTCAATTCCAGAATCTTATCAAACTGGTGTTTCTGATTTGATCTAACTCAACAAGGTTTTGCAAACAAAATTATACAGAGACAATTCACATCTACATGAATGATTGGGTACGGAATAGAAGGAATAACGAATGGGGAAATGCTATTCGTACAGACCCATTTGCACAGGGTCTGTACAGATGCTCTCACATGAGGGTGGAGGTCCACATGTGGGATCCACCCCCATGTGAGAGGCCTGTACAGACCCGTGCAAATGGGTCTGTACAAGGAGTTTAATCCTAATGACAACCCTCAAGTCAGCTTGTTCGATTCTCCATGGAGTTAAACCACTCTGAACAACGAGCTTGAACGTTAAAATGACCTCAACCTGAGTATCAGTTACCCCATAGCTTAAATTGACAAATTTTTAAATTCAACTAAACTTGAGAAACTCTAAACAGAATTGCTGAAATAAAATGTTCAATTAACACTCGTTGAAATCCCTCGAGTCCATAACTAATCAAATGTTCAGGTGTCCACATGTTAGATAATACCTAACTAAATCTAAGATCCCCTTTGACTACCCTTGCACATCATATAATCCTCTAGTATTCAACAAAAAAGATCTAATAAAATTATTAGAGCCCAACAAAGATGCAGTAACAAGCTTCGCATATTAAGAAAAGGGCATAGAGGCAAGCTTTCCACAATAAATTGCTGGAACAAAATGAGGAAAAAATGAAAAAACCTTTGTCCATCATCTACGATTCCACTGCCGTCTTCAAATACTATTTCCACGTTCGGTTTCGGTGGGCTACATCCAATGGTGCGCGCTGGGCAGTGATCCAGATGTCGGCGATGAAGAAACGGGCGGTTTTCCTCTTGCTTGCGATTTTGGGTGAAATGAAGAACTACAGATCTTCCTCTCGCGTTACATATTTGGGGGGAAATGACAATGATTTGATGGGAAATGAAGTGGGTGAATTGTCAAGAGGAAAACCGGTTTGCTTTTGTTTCCGGATTATGGGTTAAATTTTTTTAAAAGGGCTGAAACTGAAAAGGGAATAAAAAACGAATTATTCTAATTCAACTCAGCAAATTCAAAAATCTGTAATAATTTTATGGGTATTTCCTGTACCCATAGACTAACCCCTTTTTATAGGTCATACCTAGACTCTAGGGTGACCACTTTTCAGAAACATCAAATGCTACTGAACCTAAGATTAATGGAGTGAAACTTATGAGAAGATGTCACGACCATCAGGATCAAGTCACGTGTCTTTTCATTCAATTATAGCTATTCTACCTTTGCGTTATAAAAGTCCACATCATTTCAGATTTACATACTCTAATTATATTGCTTCGTTGTTATTCTCTTTATTTATCCCCGGTGCCCGTACACTAATGTGGCTCCCGTCTTCTATCCATTCCACACCTAAATATATCTATACAAGTAACTTGTATAGATAATTAAACCAAACAACTTAATGGGAATTTCCTCTCTTTATGACATGTATATACGTTCCTTCCACATTGGGATTTGGACATTTCACACGTTCTAATCAATGCACATCTGAAATTGTAGCCAGGTTAGAAAATGACTTGTGACGGTGAGTCTTGTTTCTCATGGATTTTTTATTTTTCAACTTTTAATATGTTCACATGGATAGATTAGCTAGGTTGGCTGATGCATTCAAGAATTATGCAGGTGACCTTCTCGTGAAAATTGTAATAATGTTTAAGTATTTTTTAAAATCCTAATTACTGGAAAGATTTACTGATTTAAAAAGTTAAACTGTAGTTTTTATTTATTTATTTATTTATTTATAATTACTGGAAATGGCAATGACCCAAGTTTTCTTATAAGTTAAGAACCGAACTAAGGTAAAATATAATTATAAGTGTTTGTAGCTGGAATTTACTAACAGAAAATACATATTTATATGCAATTAGTCTCGAGATGTAAAATACATAAATGATCCAAACTCTTAAGATTTACTATTTCGAAGAAACGGTGCAAAAATAATAATAATAAAAAATAAATAAATAAAATACATGACCTGTTCCTCCAGGCTACAATAGTGCAATTTGTCGGAAAAATGTTCGTGCATAAATTATATTCAAATAATATAGCTTTCTTGTGCATAAAATCGGACAGAATCTTGATTTAGCAAAATTGAATACGTAAAGTAGAAATTAGAAATACATAAATATGAATTTGATCGAGGCAAGAGTACCTGTCCTTAAGACAATAACGCTCTGCACGAGTGCTAATGATTTTCCGGCATTCGTCATTTGTCTCCCAATATACAAAGTACATATCTCGTAATAGAAGTACTCCAAATTACATAGACCAATAAAACTACTTATATTTTGAACTCTCTTTATACGAAACTTGACTCCAAATAAATGAAGAATTTTGAAATAAATATGCATTAGTATGATAATACAATTATGAAGTGAATAAATGAATGAAAATAAACACATAAAATCTATATATAGATGGTGAAATGGTTTGTCTCAAAAGACACGACCTATGAAAGTGACACAATTATTGGAATTAGTCTTTATATATGAAGAGACACATCTTTTGAAAACTGATAATGCTAAAGCCACAATCATTCATGTAGAAAGACACAACTTTTTAGTCAAATAATTTTTAGAATATTCCACAATATTCTATATAATTTTCCTATTATTCACGTATTTAAGTGAATTAAATTTGACTTAATTTTTCATTTATTAAATAATAATTTTCACTTCAATAATTAAGAATTGGTGAAAACCAATTTTATATACAATTTTTCAACACAATTGAAACATTGTGTACCTCATTCTAGTCTACACTATATATGGATATCAGAAGTCAACTATAAAATTACCCTTATTTGTCCAATATATTCTCTTAGTTGTTGTAAAAAGGAAAGTTCATTAAAGTTTATTGATGAATGATAATTATATCCCTACAGTTCTAAAAATTATTATCGTTGTATTCCTAATTCTGTCATATAAATAGAGAGCTTTAGTTTTTAATAAAACACATAAATCTATTGACTTCTCCCTATTTTCTTCTCTTTTCTCCCTTTCCACAACACGTTATCAGCACGATTTCTCTTTAAAATATATTACTATTTTATGAGGACAATTTTTTTTCTCCATTCATCTGTACGAATTTAACTCGATGAATTTAACTCTTTCTCCTTATCATCCCCAAGTTTCTTTCTTTCTCTGTATAAGAAAGTGGATTGCCTATTTGCCTTCATCTATCAATTAATGGTTTCCTTGGAATCCTGCTGCCGCCGCCTCATACCTTTTTTTTTTTTTACTCAATTTAATGGTTTCTTTTGCTTTACTCATCATTAGTTGTACCTAGCCTATGTATGAATTGAGAAAGAGAGTCAAAAAGAGGAGAAGAATAATTAGAGGCCTTTATGAGTCAAACTTGGCGATGAGAGGGAGAATTATACATGCAGGAGGAGGGTGGCTACTGAATTTAAATATACATACATACACGAAAAAGGGCTAGTAGGCTGAAATACATATACAATACGCAGGGAAAAAGGACGGCATGTTATAAAAGAGGAAGGCAAGGCGATTTTGACAAAATTCAAGAAACAATTACAATGAAAGTCCAATTGTGTTGCCATTAAATTTGTGAGTCTGCTGCCAATTATGCGTGGGTCAATTATCCGTTGTCCAAAGCATATGGTAAGATATAATGTTTGGAATTTATATATATAAAAAGGTTAGTTCGATTTTCATGTACTTCATATAAATTAAAAATAATGGAGCTTTACAAATACGGATTAATTGTTGAGAATATTATTTGTAGATCTGTCTACTACAAATATTTTCTTGTTACTCCTGAAGTAGCACAATATTGACATATTGGTCATGAAGAATATTTTGTTATTCCTGAAGAATCCAAAATTCATGGTTATTAAATTGCATATGATCGTAATATTCTAGTATTACTCTCTCTCAAAGAGTGGTTCTATAAAATTCAATTTATTTCCTGATTTGAGAAATTGCTTAGATCGATATCATAGAGGAGTATCTTGTTGTTGCTCTTGAAATAGCACAGCATTACATGAACAATATTTTTTTAATATCCCAGAAGAATATTTGTCATAAATATGTTTATTACAAATATTTTGCTCCTAAAGTAGCACAACATTATTATTAATATTCCAGAAGAATATTATGTTTATCGTTCCTGAAGAGCAGATCTTCATACAGATAAACATCTTATAATGATAAAATACTCCTATAGAGTTAATATTTTTAAACAAGAGTTTGTTGGTGCTCATGAAGTAGCACGGCATTTTTAATATTCTAAAAGAATATTAATTGCTCCATAAGAGCATGAAATTATAATTTCAATATTTCAAAAGAATATTGACTCAATACTTCTGAAGAAGTATAACTTAAATTATATTTATTTTAAATGAATATAGTGTTGGTATTCTCGAAAAAACACAACCCACGTTATAAAAATATTCTAAAAGAATATTAATTGCTCCATAAGAGCATGATATTACTAATAGACATATTCATCTAAATTATGTGCCTGACTATTTCCAAGATATGTGACCACCACGTGTGCAATTCTCCTTCTTGGTTAATGATTGATATCCAAGGTTCTAGCCACCCAAATTTATCATCAATTCCTTCTTGTACCATTTTTGGAGGTTCTGAGGCAATTCTGTCTGCGTAAGTTTGCAATTCATCTTCATATTTGATAGAAGGTAATATTAATTTTACGTGTATATGTATGCACAATTATGTCACAGTATCTAGTTAAATTTTGGTGACAAATTTTAAATTTATATTAAACAAAGTGGGCACTTAATTATTGCGGTTTGTGATTGTATAAGTACCATATATTAAATTAAGTTCATCGCTAAATGTTCATTACTATTATTTATCGGTTGATTAATTGTCTCGTTCTTACCCTTATAATACATGATTTTAATACTCATATATTTGTCTACTATAAAATATTTTTGCTCTTGAGCCAGCACATTATCATTAATGTTCTAGTTATATTTTACTTGCTTCCGAAGAGCATAATTAGAAAATTGTGTATTTAATCCTGAAAAATAAATTCTTGTATAACTTTCAATATTCCAGAAGAATATTGATAGTTTTTAAATAAGTAATAATAAAACACGACATGCCCTTGAGGTAGCACACATTTTGAGAAATTATATCTCGTTGTGTTCTTGAAGAAACACAAATAATTCAATACTGGCTGTAATTTTTAAATGGAAAACAATGTCCTTATTTTATTAATATTCGAGAAGAATATTGATTTATCGCTCTAGAAGAGCATATTAATTGGTGTTTCCATATTCTCAAAAAATGACATGTTATTGGAGAGCATGTCGTTATAATTTCAATATTTTTAAGACAAATATTGATATATTGTTCCAAAAGAAGTAAAAATAATATAAATTAGTATTCTTGAAGAATACGATATTGTGTTCCTAAAGAAGCATACATTTATCCATATTAATATTTTAGAAAAATGTTATGATTAATTTAAATGTGTCAATATTCCTGAAAAATATTATTCTATCACTTGTAAATAATCATAACTAGGTATATATCAATATTTCATAAAAATATTTATGTATTGCTCTTGAAAAAACAATAATTAATGTTAAATGTGCTCTCGAAGTAGCAAATTTTCGAAAAATATATCATTTTGAATTTGTGTTTATCCCTGAAGGAAAAAATACGACTTATGTCATGTGGACATTGATCATTACATAATTATATAATATTTAATCATATTCTTCGAAATTAAATAATTGGATTATATCTTACATTACTAGAAGTTCAATTTGATTGGCATGACCAGTTGGACCATCATTGGATCAAATTATGCGAAATCAAAATGAAGAACTAGAATTCTTCAATCCAATAAATTTCTATGTATCATTTGTTCTCATTATCGACAATTGATCATTAAAGGCCACTAGCTAAAATTGGGATTGTATTTCCTATATATCTGAAAATTAATTAGGGTGATATATGGGCCGCGTCACCCACCACGTTGATCATCTAAATATTATTTATATATAATAAATTTGAT